AAAGAAAGAAAGAAAGAAAGAAAGAAAGAAAGAAAGAAAGAAAGAAAAGAAAAGAAAAGAAAAAGAAGAAAGAAAAGAAAAGGAAGAAAGGAGGAAAGAGAAGCCAGTCTCTAAAATTATACAACCCTTTTAGCTTGCCCAGATTTAATCAGGCACAAGAGTCTGTGCTTATGGCTAGAGAACTTACAACCCTGCTCACCAGAGCCCCAAGAAAACAGTTAACAGGTAGAGAAACCTGTCCAGCTGGGTTAGCACCAGGTGATTTTTAAAAAGCCTATACAAATAGAAACTGTGTTGCCCTCCTAGATGGAGTCCAGACAGGGCCTAGAAATGGCAGAGTGGGCATGGATGGGCACTGGATAGCTATCCCGAAATCATTGTTCCAGCTGAATTCAATGTGTGGGGGCTCTTACTACTACTTAGAATGAAGAGGAAAGAAATGGAAATCCCATCCAAAATGATGTTAACACAGTTCTCATCTGTGACATTTTTCTGGCTCCCATCTCCTCTTCTGTTCCCCTAATCATCAGTGTTCAAGTGTATGGAAGCAGCAGCAGCAGCTCAGGGATGGGGATAGGTGGGGGATGACTCAAAAGGGACCCATTAATTCACATAAGGGGGTGTTCCTGGAACACAGACATCGATAACCCTTTTAAAACATAGTCATTATGACTGAGTTAATAGTACTGACTCCATGCCCAAGATAGGCTGGACCTTTAAGATTTACAAATGTGGGGTCAGATATCTTGGCAATGCTCAGGTTACAACTCCCTTCCTTCCATAAGGTCAGTCTGGCCCACAGCCACGAGCTACCCAAGCCCCTGGAGGCAGGGCTCACAAATGACCACCCCAGGAACAAGAAGAACCTGAAACAGCATGGATGAATGAATTCAAACCCAAGCTCTAGAGATCCAAGAAAGCATCCTGTCTATCCATGTAGCCCCAACACAGGGCACAGCGCCTAGTAGATAGTAAGTACTCAAAAAGTTTTGATTTATTTGAATTAAACTGAATTTTCACTAGAAAAACAATGCAGAGTATAAGCCCTATTGATGTTGGGCCTGGAGAATTTTCTTCATAAATAAAAATATTGCATACTGCAGTACTTTGAAATGATAGCAAAATGAAAAATGCAACATATTTCTCTCCAATTTATTGGAATCCAGTTATCTTCTTTAGCACAGAATCTGGCAGGGAAGATTTTGGCCAAGTTTCCATCATTATTGCTCTCACCAAGGCAATTATTAAGGATCACTGGTTATTGCCTGGATCAACCTGAAACCCAAACGTTTGAAGTTTGGGGAAACAGCATAAGCTCGCCATGGCAGCTTTGTATTGACATCACCCAGCTTGTTTCCTACAGCCCATACTGTGGCCCTAATCCATGTTAGGAAGCTGAGCAAAGAGGGAGAGCAGAGTGGGCAAGGAGAAGTTCAGGCAGGGTGGGAAAAGATGAGAACCAGTCTTTCCTGGAAACCATGGCAACTGGAGACAGGAGGTACTGCAGACTGGACCATGGTCTCCACAGAAGCTTATTCTCTTTTCTCTCTATCTCAGACCAATGGGAAAAAGCACTATTCCAAACCCTGTGGCCAGGGACTGGCATTTTTCTCAAGTGCTAAACTCTAACAAAATAGTCAAAAATGGTAAATCATTTGTAAATGACTCTAAGGCCATTTAGCAGTGTATTTGATCACTCACAAAGCAGCTGAAAGGACCTTACAGTTAGTCTTTAGTTTGCTGTAGGGTTTCCGTAATCCTGGCCAGTTCAAGATGCTTGGCCCCTATATCTAGCCATTTGAGTAAAAGTATTAGATGCCGGAGAAAGAAGAAAAAAGTTCCCAGTCCCCTGTGTCTTTTGTTTTCTTCTTTACTCATCTTTTTCATCTCCCTATAATTTCTGGCTCTCCTGAAACTCTTCCAGGATAATCTCATATCAAAGTTAGTGATGACAACAATCTGGGAAAATTCCATTTTTAGTAATGGGACTATGTAAGAATATAAAGACTAGAAAATCTGGTTTGGACCACATTCACCCTAATCTTGCTCTTATCTATATATATCTACCTCCGCTTTAATCCTGCCAGTACAAGTCCAACTTTGGCACGGCCTTCACGTGCTTCTCCAGCATCTGGTATGGTCCCTCATCCTGTGGCTCATTGCTTGTTTCCTCTAGTCTGTTTCAACATCCTTGAAGTGACTACTGCAAAATCTGATCCCTCTGGTGTGGCCTTGGAACAACTCCTCAAAGACTTCCCCCATGGATGACACTTCTAACACTTCCAGATCCACCTCTAAGAGCCAGTTTTGAAGGACCAAATGTGTGGCAGAAAATGACCAAGTGTCAAGTCTAGAGGCAATGGATGAACTCTTAGTAAGGATAATCTAGAGACATCTTACCTGGCCTGTGCTAGGCCTTCTGAGCCTCTACCTCCCCTTTGTTGCATTAGCTTTCTTTTTATACTTTATGAGGTTCAATAATCTAACAAATAAACTCAGTGATAGTCATGGGGCTTAAAAGTGAGACCATCCTTTCACTTGTGTTTTTGAGCCATGGGGTATTTGGAAATGGATTTGGAATCCACAATAATAGTCATTTCAAATTCTATTCAGCTTGCTATGTGCTCTTACCTCAACTACTATTTAAGTGTTCTCCTTATAAAATGGGTAATCAGGGAATGTGTAAATCTATAGATTTGTCTAGACCTTTCTTTGCTGTTTAGTTCACAATACAAGAAGAATCCCCTATTTGTCTGGCCAATGCTCTTCTTACATTACTAATTCTCAGAGCATTCAGAAACATGGATCAATATTACCTGGATTGTAGTTAGGTAGCTTGGAGACTCCAGGCCAGGTATCCTCTGTAGGGACTCCCAACACCTACATAAAGCCAGAGAAAGACAAATGTGAAGAGACGATGTGGATGGAGACATAGAGAACAGACCAGGGAGGAACAGGAAGAATTAGATGTCTGTCACATTACAACAGCTGATGTATATATGAGAAAGAAACTTTAGTGTTCCCAAAATTTACAGTTTATTGGGCAAAACATATGTATTCCTATAGTTCTGAGACTGTGTCCTCACTAATTCACTTGTTATTCTGAGGTAGATCTTACAGTCATGCTTAAAAGTCACATTCTTGGTGCTGGCCAGTTAGCTCAGCTGGTTAGAGCACAGCCTTGTAACATAAAGGTCAAGGGTTCAGATCCCCATACTGGCCAGCTGCAAAAAAAAAAAAAAAAAAAAAAAAAAAAAA